ATTATTAGATATACAGGGTGTTTCAGATGTACGTACTACAATGGAAATTACAACTTGTCCTAAATAACAAACAAAAATTAAGTATATATTATTAAATTAAATAAATATTAGGCGGGGTCCTATGAACTCCAGCAGTTTTTTTTTGTGCGTAATTCAAAGAATTTTTGCCAGGTGGCGCCATCCGTCTCAGTACCATTCAGCCGATGTGTTTTGAGTGGGGGACTGTATTGTTGTCCTCTTTATCTGCCAGTGTACGAATGCTATCAGGAGTGTTCTGTTGTTTGGGGACGGTGAGACCCTCCCATACCAATACCAATTTCTTACCCAGCATCTTGTTTCAAACGTTTTAATGGCAAGTTCAAATCGAAAAAGCAAGCGGGCGGATGACCCCCCGGTTTGAAGAATGGGCACTTGAAACTTTGGATGAACTGGAAAGTGATTTTAGCGGGAATGACGACGATGTGGAGTCGGATTTTTTCTCAGAGCATAGCAGTAACTCAAAAACAGAAATCGCGTAGGAACAAGAGGTGAGGATCAGAACCAACAGGAAGAACAGGAAAATGTAACTGACGAAGAGATAGAGGTGCCAACGACATCCACCACGGTAAGATTGAAATCATATACGGTAAAAATAGATTCAAATGGAGTGATAAACCTCGGGTTACTAATGTTCGAAAAAGCATTCACAATATTATATCTCATGTTTCGGGTGCCATCGGACTAGCAATATTATTGGGAAATGCTTGTTCAGAGGTTGATGCATGGAATTGCCTTATTACCGATGGGATTTCGCTTGAGATTGTACAGCAGACAAATAAAAAGCTGCAAAATATAAGAGATAAATTCTCTATAAATAATAAATATTTGGCTGGTGACGTTGATATCACGGAGCTGATAGCTTTTTTGGGCCTCTTGTTTTTCTCAGCAATTTTCAAATCTAGTAATGAAGACTTGGCATCAATTTTTGCAATAGATGGGACAGGAGATATTCAGGTGCACCATGTCGCAGAAGCGCTTCAGTGTTTTGCTCACCGTTTTGAGGTTTGACGGACACTAGGGAGGAAAAGAAAAAAACCGACTGAACGGCTGCTATTTCTTTTTATTTACTTTTGAAACATGAAATAAATTTTATTTTTTAGAATATCTCACTTATCCATAAAATGATTTGTGAATAACCTAAGCCATTTAAAACTACGAATCAAAAATAAAAATTTTCACTTCTCAAACCATTTTACCAGAATAAAAGAAAAGATCCCGAAAAAACCACTATTGTACTACTTGCCGAAGTGATTATTTTGAAACCTTCTGTCCTATTTAAATTATTGAATAATAAATTATTATGATAAGTAGTACGATTATTATCGACAATTTTTTGAAATGTCGTGAATGTCAGTCACAACGATGAAAATTTTCCATAGATTGAGATGTTATTATCACTTCCAATGCGAAATCTGTTAATTTTTTGCCGTTTGACAAAATATATATTTTTTATAACCGATCTTTTCACTGAAAAGTTTTACTTAGCAGTAAAGCATTCAATTGGACTTATATTTGATAAATCCTTTTTCGATAACCATTATGTAACGCAGAAAAGAGTTGAAGCCATAAGCGATTTTCGAATAGATATCCAGATATCCTCTGTATACCAGCCAAAGCCAGAGAAGAACCGATTGACTTATTGTTATTATTCTCATCACACGCCGTATTACATAGCGAGAAAGAGAGAGCGCTAATCCAGTCCCGGAATTGGACCCAGTCTGGTGCTGAGCCAGCGTTTTGTCACATCAAGAGATATGAGTTGAGGCCGCAAGAAATATTATCCGATGCGATGCCGATGCTCAAATCTTTGAAATATCTCCGAACGAATTAGGCGATTTAGATTGTCCGTTTCGGGCTTTCCAAAACATGTTTTCGGTTTTTGGCCATTTCGATGTTCAAAATGGCTATCCCTAAGTTAATAATTTACCTTTTTTTTACAGGGTGTATTAGAATTTGAAGTAAAATTTTCCTATGTGAGTGCAAAAAGTGACATGACGTGATTTTTGCTTGCTATTTGTATGTAGGCTAGAAAAGTGGAGCGAACAACACATAATATGTCCGGGTGGTGGTGTAAAATTCAAAGTAAAATTGCTTATCGAAGGCTTTAGAAAACCTGCAGTTAAAACCCTATTTGCGCCTAACTCAGAATGCAACAGGAGATGAAGGAAGAACACTAGGGTATCTATAAACATACGTAATGGTCTAGACATCTTCAACTCACAAGATTTCTGTTTTAGAGACCTAGTAACAGTCACGATGGAAATAAACATAGCAGGCATCAAGAGGCCACTCACATCTTGTGAGTCTACTCTGAATCATCTTGTAACCAAAATAAAGAGGAACTCAATAGCCAATAAATAGTCCTAGAAACGTTTCTTGACATAGAAAGAGCTTTTGATAATACCTGGTGGTTGATAGAAGACATGTTACATGGACAAAAATGTTCAGGGAAATCATGCAGGTGAATATCCACAGGGAATGCCCATTGCCACTGTGGAACCTAGTGGCAGTTGAACTGCTTAAAATACTGAACAATCAAATACTATATGTCCAAGAATATGCCGATGACATAGTCATCCTTATCCGAGGGAATTGTTCAATAAGGTATATAAAAAAACAAATCTAAAACGAGTCACATCTTCAAGGAACCTTTATAGCTAGATTTCCTAGTTTTCCATTTTTCTATTAAAATTATGTTGTGTTCGTAGGAAAAATAGTGTAAATCACTTGTGTGAAAGTGATTGTCGCACAATATTTCCCACTGGTGTGAAAAATGTCACTTTCCACTTTCGTAAATGATAACTTCTGTAATTAGGATTGCCAACCGTCCTGCATTTCGGTGGACGTCCACCATTTGGGGTGCATTGTTCAGTATTCTGCAACAACCTATAGCAGGACGCTTATTGTATTTATTTTTAGTGTTTCAAATAATATCTCCAATTTCTTATTTTTATAGTCACATTGGCATCGTCGTTCATTTTGTAATTTATATTTTCTATATTTGGGTCCAATACTGACTCTGAAAGGATATTTTCAATGTGTTCACCTTCGTGGAGTGAGGCGCGTAATCGCTTGTCCATTGAACACATCAAGGCCGAACTTCAAATGAAGAATAATTATTCCTATACATACTTGCAAAGAATTTTATAATTTTCTAAAAACTAATAAGAAATTAATAGTAGGTGTCTGCAAAAGGCAAAAAATTTGATTTTAAACGCAGTGACACTGTTAAGTAGCTGTACCTTTTTATATTATTCTTATGGTCTTTGTAAATAAAATGTTTAAACATTAGTTTCTATTTATCCAAAGAATCCTTGTTTTCTATCACTTCTTTTTTATTTGTCGAATTGTTTATTTAAGTTTGTTGTTTTCGCAAAAATAAAAATGTCCAGAATTTATACCATATGTCCTTAATTTTAATTACCATCGTCCAGAAAAATTAAAAAAAAAAAACAAAGTTGGCAACCCTACCTGTAATCAAGTTACCTGCTTTCAAATGTTGATATTTATTTTCCTTCAATATGTGAAAATTACCAACTAGAAAATGGTCGTAAAAAAATTTAGTGTGCTACTTGTGTAGAAATCCTATTCCATACTCATGTGAGTGAGACACTCGTATTTGCTCGTGTCACAAGCTTCACACATTGTGATAAAAAAATATTAAATTTTGACCACACTTGTTTACATCTATCCAAATAAAGACGATACTTATAGAACACCTTGTATTGAAGTAGTCCTCTTTTAATATTAATGTTATTTTTCTGAAATTATCTTCGCTTTTCAATTTTCTATAGGTAATTCTTCCTCAACAGCACAAGTTAAGTATATTATATGTAATCATTGATTATCCAGTCTTGCCAAAACCTACGTCAAAAATTTAAAATTTCATCATGAACAAATTCAGCGTCGATGCTTCAAAAATATCCTAATGAAAATTTGAATTGCAGAACGCACATCCGAAGCATAGGAGATTGGCCGACCGAGAGACTAAAGTTTTGAAAACTTCCCGAACGCAGAGGTCACAGTCGTTGTTCCTCATCCCCATTCCTCGGTCTTCGCCGTTCCTCTCCACTCACTCATAATAATAATACACCATTGCCATGTCATCGAGTACGGTCTCATTTAAATATTTAATGAAGTCGGATACGGTGATGTTGCTCCTCGATCCCCTCGTCTTTCTGTCGCACTAAAAAAAGTTCCTTTTGCTCTTTCAAAGGAATGCATAATTACACGGCTCCATGGAAGAAACGGAAAATATTGTTTGAAATTTATTTTCTACTCATTTATGCAAAAACAAGCAACAAATTGAAATTGGTATTTTAATAACGGATACATTCCTGCAAAACTCTTTTTAAGCAGAGGCGCCGTAGGCATTTGAAGCGTACAGGAGAAAAAAGATGAATGTCACAAAAATGAGTTTCTGAGAAAATAGGATTTTAAAATTTGAAGACTTCTACAATACTTGTCTGAAAATATATTTGACTCAAATATTTTTTCTCAATACCTGGTAGTATAGATTACTTTGTTACGAATTATTGAGTGCACAGGTTTATTTTTGTAGCTGGAAAAAAATAGTTATACTACATATGTTCGAGTGGGGAAATGGAGTATTTCATCATAAACTATGTGCTTGTAATTGCATTATTTATTGAAACGAAAGAGCATACAACTTTAATTTTGGTTATATAAAAGTAGTACCAACGAAAATAGTAAACAAATTCTCATACAAAAAATATACAGGTCGTTTTAGATGTAGTAGTACAATAGATTCTTAAGATTAGTAAAAACTTAGGGCAAGCTCTTAATAAACAAATAATATAAATAAATACCTTTTTATTAAAACTAAGGCACATAATGGTAAATTTCAGTAGAACATTAAAATATTAGGTAATGTTATAATATAATAAAAAAAACATACAGCGAACGTCAAAAAGTAAACTTGAGTATTGTAAATTATAATCTTAACATAAATTAAGCGTCTTCATCTTCGGTAGTGTGGTTATTAAATAAGTTTTCAAAGTACTTAGATTCATTAGGCTCACAAAATCTTTTAAGTTCTTGTAGGTCTTGAAACTTTTTCAAATATATAGGGAGTTTCTCGTTGTATTTTAAAGAAGGTACTTCAAATTGGCCAGTAGGTAACAAATCAATATTTTTTGACTTTCTTCTAGGCGGTATCACTACAGAAGTCGTGCAAGCTCCGTTATATGATTCACGATATTCTATCATTCTCGGCATACCAGTATGTACTGTAAGTTCCTTGTTTAGCCTGCTATCAAATGGACACTTTTTATACAAGTAATTTGCAAAGTGATTTGTCCATGAACGAAAACTATTTTGATCTTTACAGTCAATTACACAAAAAGGACCAGGTTTACTTCTAGCACTCAGAATTTGCTCATTCCATCCACCCAGAAGTTCTACTGCTGCCTTTTGGTTTATTAGATCCATGTTGTGGTCACATTATAGACAGCTGTGTCCCCGAACTAGAAACGTCATCTTGATTTTCCTTAAGCGTTTTGTCTTATGGACAACGAAATGCAGTAAACGAAATAAAGTATAATTCTTATTTTGACCGCTACACGAATCGCAGAAAATTTCTAACTCTTGGACACACTCATCCAAGAAATTGAAAATAAAATGAAATAGCATAGATGCTACTTCATCTGAGCCCTACTTTCTTGCAGTTTCCGTGTAAGTATAAAAATATGAAACACAGTTAGACAGCACATAGATATTAAAGGACTAAAAAGAAAGTTGGCGTTTATAATATACATAATTAGTGCTGATATTGGACACTGGCAAATTTTTTTGAAAATACATTGCTATTGCCTCTTTTTCTGTACTTTTTTGAGAATTTAAACGGGCTGCTCTGTTTCTTTTAGAAGATGCAGTTTATGTTCTGTTTCCAAACGAGATAATAGCGCTTTTTGTGAAGGATCGTTTTCGATGCTCAGTTTCTTGGTCTTCTGCTCATCACAGGCACTGAAGGTATCCGTTCGTGGATGGCCCAAAACTTATGTTAAATTTAGTTACAAATATAGTTCTGTAAGTCTCGTAGAAAATCTTTTTCTCAGGATTTTGTTGCAAAAACATGTTGAACATCTTTTTCACTTTAAGATCTTCCGGTAAATATACACGTTGGGAGTCATGGTGACTGTAATGTGATTTTTGGCCTTTAAACGAAGCAATATGGTCAAAAACAGCAGTGGATATTTCATCTGGGAGACGATTTTTTCGATTGGAATTTTGACCTCTCCCATCGTGTTTAACATGTCCAAAAGTTGTTAACTGCTGCTACATATGGGCACTTCTATAGCTGTATTATCTCGTTGAACACGAATTTTGTATGTGCACGAATATGAGCGATATGCAACATCTTCATCATTATTCTTTCTACTTCGGTGTCGTTTAACGGGGCATGTGAAATTAAGCCACCAGATACAAATTTTATTCATTATGATCTTTAAGTTCATTAAACCGTTTAATTATTTGCAATCTCTCTCCTTCGGTGACATTTTCAAAACACCTAAATCTAGTTCAATTACAACTTGGGCCTGTTTCATGGCTTCGTAGTTTTAATAACTTAGCAATGTTTTTCATATGTCCATGAGATTTCCGCTTCTTAGACCTTAGAGGAAAAACTGCACTATCAACTTCAATGTCTTCGTCACTCATTGCGAAATATTTCCATTGCACGTGGCACTACTGAAATAGTAAAATAGTGCGTAATAAAATGGGAAAAAGCAACGAGAGAAAAACAAAACAATGCGCGATTGCCATATTTATGGATATTCATCTTTTTCCCCAGTTGCCGGGACGTTCATCTTTTTTCCCCTGTGCGGTAACATTTAGATTCGCTGTGGCTTGCTACTCTCATCTATTTTGATTGGTTTCAATATTTTATCGGATTTTTACAGCAGTTTAGCAAAATATTCCCACCATTAGCTTAAAATTAGAATTTTTTGACATTAATCTTTTTTCCCCTATACCCTTCATTTGTGAGATTATTTATACACCAGCTTATCGTTAGATAAACAAAAAAATAAATAAATGAGAGTTATGTGTTGCTAAAATAGTTAAATAAACAATAAATGACTTCCTGTAAATAACTTTATCTTATCATACTGTTATAAATTTTCCCAGAGATAAACAATTGGTGTGGATTAAATGTAAAATATATTCATTCTTTGGCTTAACTTTGTTCAATAAAGAAGTAGTAAAAGTACTTAATTTAAAAAAAAAAAAATTTTCATAAAGAAAAATGAAACTGGCGCAGTCAGTAGGATTCGTGCGAGCTATGAAGACTGTGGAAATTCTAGAAAATCGTTTTCTTAAATTGATAGACTCTTAGTCACTATCGTGCAGACTTTCATGGTTTTAACTTGTTAACGTTTTAAGCGCGCATTACCTACATACATCCGGATATTATCAAAGATCTAATACTACCTCAATTGATTTTGATAGTCTGTACGAACTCAACGAAATCTTCAGAAAACCAAAACCGAATTAAGAAAGCTCAAATACCCAAATGGATACATCTATACTTGGAACAATTTTGGGCATAATCATCGCAGTTAAATAAAATTCAAAAACAAAATTCCAAAATGTAGAAAAAAGAAAATTCTAGATTGCAACCTTCTTCTACTTTACTAGATTAACAACCTGTTTATTAATAATCTTTCAACATGTTTTTTAAGTTGTTTGACTTTTTAAATTTGCCAAAATATTCTAAGAACGAATTTGAAACGGCGCTTGACCCGAATTAGCACATCAAACTGCCGGCTGGGAATCTCGACAGTCAATATTACGATAGTCCAGATGTAGGGCATTTGTGTACAGAACAAAGATGTTTGGTTTCGAATCCTAACTCTGACAGGATTATTAATCTCCAAGTATGTGTATTCACCTTTGGGGTTCGGGAATGGTCTAAATAATTCGTAGGGGGATTTTTAAGATTTGTTTCCGAATTTTCAAGTTATTTCACATCTTATTTCGATTTCGGATTTCGATTTGCGATCTACATAATATTATTGTGAGGAATAGTAATAATAATATTATTAATATATTAATAATAAGCAATATTTTATCAATTTTCATATTTTTCCATATTGAATTGGACTGTGTCGTAAAGTGCACATTGTACTGCTTGATTAGCGCTCAACAAACTGAGTTAACGGTCCATTGAAATATTTGTATTGTAAATATTTTTAGCCTATAAGTTTTACAACTTTGAGTTGTCCGATAGCCAGTTGAATGTGCTAACACGTCATCCATTTATTTTAGATATATAAGGTGTTCCGTAACGATGTTATTTTAACTAACTATTTAAACTTAGTGTTCTACCATTTAAACTGGATTTTATGTCACAACTTGGCGAAATAAATTAATTTTCATTTTTTTTTCTAGACTTATAAATTGCAATTTTGTTAAAAATTACCCGGTAGTCGAACCCTATTTTGTGATGATGTCTATTCTGTCAGTTCATGTTTCTGAAGGGTAGAGATTGGCAACCTCTCTTTTTATTTCTTTCAGAACTTTTTTCTTTGCAAGCCGATTCCAACAATTTTTTTTTCAATACTGCATGCAATTTAAAAACTTTCTCACAATTTTGTTAATTCACTTTTTACCCATATTGGCGCCTAAAATCACGTGTGGTTGACATTTTTACGAAGTAATCTTGTTAGGCATAACTTTTTCCTGTTTAAATATTTTACTCTATTGAATGATAGGGGCTAATTTAAAATAATGAATAATAAGTCTTTATTATTTTTATGGCCAATTGGGCCTTATTTTGTTGAAATTTGTTTTAATTTCTATTGACTAGACCACTGATTCTCAACCTTTTTTTTTGTTGCCGCACACTTTTAACGATTTCAAAATTTGGTGGCACACAAAGAAAAATATTTACTTACCTATAACCAAATAGATTAGAAAGGTTAGAGGTAACATATGAAGCATTTGTCGCTGCGCGAATTTTGCCAAAACCGAATAACTGGGTGGAAGGAGTAGTGAGATGTTCTGGGTCGGACTTAAATATTTGTATTGTAGTACCTACATAATTTTGGTAGGTAACTAAAAGATGAAAAATTATAAGACGTTTTTTTGACTTCATTTTCCCACACCGTATATTGTCTTTTATATTATTTAAAAAATTTGATAAATTATATCTTAATATCAGGCATATTAGTTTGTCAGCTTGATTATAATTTTCTTAACTCCCCCTACTCTTTGTCGACTCACAACTCACACCTTTTTGAGCTAATTTCAGTAGAGCACGCACGCGGGCATCGTAGAGAAACCTTCGTCGCTTTGCCGCCGTCAAATCTGCATTCACAAATTGATCTCTACGACTTGATGTTTCTCAGATCAGTCGGTTTTAGCATCCCTTTGAAGTTTAAACGCATTTTCATAAAGTTGGCCGACAGAGGAGATCGTGTGAAATATCGGGTTTGAACGTTTCATGGGAGGGTTTTCGAGAATTCCTTTTCGGAATAAATTTCATCCGGACGGGAAACGAAAGAAGTGCGAAATTGTTACGCCAAATACGAGAATCCTGCATCGTTTGTTATCAAAAGAAAATGTTTACCTCTCTAAGTGCTGCAGCTACCGTCCTCTCGATGAAATATTTAATTTAATAGAGCGGAATGTTTTTCCTAAAAATGGAAAGGTAGTCATGGGTTCGTTTTTCTTCGTTTATATCTCTGACGAGGTTAAGCGGTTTCTACATGATTAATAATATTGCATTGTACTATTTTACTGATTGATTCCTCTTCGTTCAGCTCAAACGCAGGACGCACTTTTGTAGTGTTTGCCTTTGACACGTTTTATAACTCCTAGCAGCGTTTCCCAAACGAAGGCTCGCTTCACAAAAAAATACTGTGATTGCGGAATTTTAATTCTGTGATCCGAAATCAAGGCCATTAAACAAAATAAATGGACACCATCGCAACTAGTAGGTGGGAATTCCCATATAAAAAGTTAGGTATTTACTCAAAAAGTGTTTATTAAGGGATTAAAAATAAATATAAGCCCAGGTACCCTTTTTAAAAAACACCCCAAAACCACCCTTAAACCACCCCAAAAATAACCCAAATCCACTCCAAAACCACCCCAAAACCATTTCATAACCACCCCAAAACCACCCCTAAAGTTACATTTTTTAATAAAAAATTTACTCGTTAGGAAATGAACTTTGAGTTATTGGGTTTGCAGGTTGTACTCTTATAAGTTAATTACAAGTTTTCGAATGTGAATACATTCATCTTCAGGGATCTAGAATATTTAATAAAGAACCACCATAATGTACGATAATTATGTTTCTCTCCGAATCAGAGGTTGTAGATAAGGAGTCTCATTAGCCTCCCACTGCCCCCTCTACGAGTTTCATTACGTGGTAGGTCTCATTAACCGACCTTTCATTGAACTCTAACCAGTTTTAAGGGATTCAG